TGCAGCTGTAATGGTGAAATTTGGAAGGTTAATTGAATGTGAGCATCAGTTATGTTATGCACACGGAATTCATTTAGCGGTATGTGATGTTTTGTACCAAAAGTCAACCACTTCAGTAGCAGTCCCTCTTTCTGAAGAAATTCAAACTGAAGATGAAGAGCGCAATGACGATATTGAGAAAGATGAAGAAGACTTTAGTTATAGTATTGATTTTGAAAGTGTTTTGTGTGAGCGTTTGGCTGAAGATCCTTTCGATATAGATATTTCATTTGAATTACATGACACACTAGGTAATGAAATCGTCTGTTCTCAAATCATTAATAAGGTTAGAAAAATAGCAAAATTTTTTCGCAAATCACCTTTAAAGAATAACATCTTACAAAAATACGTTGAACAGGAACATGGGAAAAATTTGCACTTATTTCTGGATTCCAAAACCCGATGGAATAGCCTTTTAGCCATGTTAGAGCGATTTATTAAAATAAGATCATCCATATCGAAAGCAATCATTGACTGTAATAAAGATACGGACAATTTTGATCTTGACAAACAAGAAGTTACTGTAATTCGTGACATCGTGGCATCACTGCAGCCATTAAAAGCTGGAGCAGAAAAGCTTGGCAACAGAGGATCGACTTTACTTTCATCGGAAGGTATTTTTTCTTTTATTATAAATGAGTTAAATCAACTAAACACACCTTTTTCAAGAAGACTAAAAGAGTCGTTTATTCGACGCATAGCAGAGAGAAGAAATGTAAAACTGACTGGCCTCATACAATATCTCAATAGTGGAAAGAATTATGGAAAAGTTTCAACTTTCCCAAGTGAAAAAAGTTTGCCAGCCTTACCAACCAAGACTATGTTAATTTTATCAGCAAAACAGATGTTAGATCGTCTTTTTGAAGTATCTACTGATTCTACTTCCGGTGATACAGATCAACTACCAGATGTCGCAAGCTCATCTGCAATGACTTTAGCTGAAAAGCTTGATGCTGCTATCAAAGAAGCTGAGATAGACAGATCAAGAAAAGTGGACAACAAAAGCAGTACTGAAACGCGTCTCGAGAACGAAATAGAAATCTTTGAGGCTACAGGTGAAAAAACACACAACATCTGTCTTCTGTTAAATGCGTTAAAAACGATTCCACCCACATCGATTGAATCAGAAAGGGCATTCTCGGCAGCAGGACTTTTTATTACCAAATTAAGAACCAGATTGAGTGATCGGAGTATCGACCATCTTTGTTTCTTAAAATCTCATTATAAAAATTTACAGTAATATTTGTATTATGTTTTATTTAAATAAAAAATATCATTTTCTAAGTTAGAAGTTTGATCAAAGTTCAGTTTTTTTCTTTAAATTTTTAACTCAATTCGTAGGCAATTTTTGTTATAAGCAGTTTCGAACAAACTTTAACAAATTTTTTTTTATTTGTGAATTTTCTACGTAATTCAAAGGTATTTTTAATACATATTTTACACATCATTATTAATACGATTTTGGAGGTTGTAGAACACTTAAATTACTTTAAAAAATGAAAAATAATGATATCATTCGATTTCAAGATATTTTTTATATTTTAAAAATAATTTATTATATCCCGGGATTTCCCGGGATCCCGGGAAACAGTTCACTTTTATCCCGGAATCCCGGGACAAGCAAAAGACCGGGAAATAAGAAACCCTAGTTCCCATACAGAACAGGATTCATCACTAAATATGATATGCTGCCTGTTCAGAGTAGTTGATAATTTTCTATTATGACCACCACTGTAAACAAAGCCAGCAATGTTGGGCAATTGCTATACATACAAATCTCTGCTATCAATAGTAAAAGTTTCCTGTCAATAATAAAGAAAGAGAGAGAGGGTTCTATAGTGAGGGTCCTACTTGTTTCTGGATAATGGACAAAAATATCACGCTGTTCATCAGGCAGACAATTTATATCTGGGTGTGTAACTTTTTGTCAGTAAGTGTACACACTGTATTTTCTGCTTAAGTTTCATATTTTGGTTTGTCAGTTGCAGTTTGTCTATCATGTTTCTGGTCATCCAAAGTCTCTTTCATTTAATGCCCCAGCATTTGGCAGCTGTTATTGTTGCTCAGGACAGCTGCACAAAACACTGACTTTTTTCATGTTCTGCCAAATAGAGTTGTCAATTTAATCATTTCACTCGTGTCCTATGTTATTTGTCCAATAAATATTCTTTCAATATTTATAGTCCATCATGATGTTGCATTTTACTTGGCCAGCAATGTATTATTACTAACTGTAACCCATCAAAAATGATCAGAGAATAAATAAAACTTCCAATGCTATCATCTAGCTTAAAATAGCTGGGTCATAGCATCATAAGCAATTTATTTTCTTGAATGTAAATATATTAAAACACAAAAATTATTATAAATTTAATAGTTAATCACTTAATCATTAAAACTTTATAGATTGTTCTAGGAAAAATTTGAATTGATGTCTACTTTCAACAGAAATGCATGATCCACCAATAAAAAGCAGTTTGCATAGAGCTACAGATGTACAGATAGGGTAAATTATATTATTAGATAATTTATAATTAACGCTACTAAATACTAAAACAATACATACCGGTAATCTTGTTAACGGTGGTTTGCTGACATTTTTTCCAAAAGCATCTTCTTGAAACTGAATTAACTGAATTACCAAACTTGCAAGACCTTTATTAGTTGGAGGTTCTGCTTGAGTATACTACAAAAATTTATCAAATCAGTTAATAATATTTCATAAAATGCAAATTTAAAACTCTTTTATATTCATTCAAAAAACATTAATATTTTATATTAATAAGAAGTACTAAAATTAGAAACAGCATTAATCATCAAATTACTTATTAAAATATTAATAAACTATAAAAATCTACTAGATTAGGTAGATATCAATTTGAAATATTCTAGTCAATCTAATACAGTTGACCCCCTATAACGCGGGTTCATATAATGCGGATTCATATATGTGGCGAAAAAATTGCAACCATATTCATATAAAGACGCTAAAAGAGACTCGTAAAATGCGGTAAAACGTCATTGCCAACTCGTGTCGCGACAGGATTGGTCGAATCTGGACCAATAGTGGACGAGCAGCCAAACTACTTACAAGCTACAGAGAGTTTAGGTGGGTAAGTTGAGTTTACTATCATCTGTACAGTATGTAAATTAGGTACAGTACTGTAAGTCTAATACAGTACTGTAATTTTATACATTTTTTTGTGAAAAAAACATTTCTTATTCAATGGCCATAAAATTTATTTCTATTAATGATGTCTCCAAAGTTCAACAAATTATTCGCAGAAAAATAACTTATCAGAAAATGGGTCCGCCGTTTGGTGCGCTGCTCTGCGACGAAAACAAGCTTAAGCAATGGCATTTTCGAATGGTGCACACTCGGTAAGTAATCCTACGATTTTTTGTTTATAGCATAATTTATACAGATTATTCCCAAAAAATTATACGTGTTTTGGAAATGTTGAGTCAAATTAGTCTAGAATCGATTAATTTTATGAAAGGAAACCTTTCAAACAACCGTAGTCCATAAACTGCACATGTGCTGGGCTGTGATTGGCTCATGTATTTAAGGATTCCTACAACGTGAAATTCTTATAAAGTGGAACGTATCTACCATGTTATAGGGGGTCGACTGTATTTGGATTATAATTTATATTAAAGTTCTTTAGAAATATAAATTAAAATTTTAAATTAGAAATTTAAATTCATACTTCAAAAGACTAAGAATTAAATTTATTTTAAAAGATTCTTTAAAATAATTTAATTTTGATTTTTTCCTATATATAACATATGGGTTATGTGTTTTAAAGACAATCTGAAAGCAAATGCAGGCTATGCATTTTGGGGATGCAGAAATGCCTTATTGTACAAATAAGATTCAAAGGAAATTAAAACAGTCTCAGAAAAATTTCAGATAGGAAATTATTATTATGGCAATAACCATAAAAATATTACAATAAAATGTAATACAATAGAAAGTTGATAATTCATCATGTCCAGGTCTGGGGGTAATGAATTACAGAAATTGACAAATTATAGAAAATTCCAGAAATAATAATTAAAACATATTTTGAAATACTTTTGTAGTTTTAATTAACACAATACATAACTTATAACCTAACTTTACAAAAACTTTTATCAAAGCTAAGAATATAATTTAAAAAAACTTGCATACTTTAAATTTTGCCAAAATGTTTAAAAAAATTATTCTTTTGTCTTTATGTGTGTAAATATTACATTTTAAAAACTGCATAATTTTTTAAACTATTTTTCCATATCCCTTCACAATTGCAAAGTTGTGCTTTTGTTGCACTGAAATTAAGTTTGGAATTTCTGCCTTATTTTGCTGTTTGTACCACTCAATGCATTTTTATAACATTCATCATCATCTTTATCTGCTTCTTCATTTTTTACATCCCTGTTCTTTACTCATTCTATTATTTCATTGTTGTTCAAAATTTTGTAACTAAATCCAAGGTATCCATTCAGCCAGTCATTTACATCACCATGTTCTATTTGAAAAGTGTCATTGCACATTCGAAAAACACCATCCAGCAATTGTTTGTTTTCGTTGCTGTTACTTCCAGGGATGGAGTGGTTGAAAAGTTGAATGAATCTATTTATGGGAGAAGGTTTAAGAGACAGCAGGTGAAAGAAGTATACTCAACTACAAGATTAACATTAACAAATACTGTACCTATTTATTTACATAAGTAGTTTACATCTATGTACAGTACAAGGATTTATAAAGATTTTTAGCTAAATGCAAGTTAACTATTATAATTATTATCGTGATTAATTGAGTGCTTTTGTCTATATACTATAACTGCTCTTTAATTAAATTCACTGTGAATATAATAAGCCTGATTCATTGGTTCCAGTTTACTACTACTTTTTAATTTGTTCATCAGGTAGAGGTGAATAAAAACTCTACAGAATTTTTACTTTTTTTATTGTAACTCATATCTTTTTGGGCAGAAAAAAATCAAAAATGAATTAACAGTCTAATGTAAATAAAAATTACAAACATTAACAAAACTAAATTTTAGTTATTTTTACTTTTAATTCTATAATAATTTATGGATCAATAGCAACTATCAGTCATGGTGATATTTTTGCATAATTTTTCATATGCTTCATTTTTGTTTTTCTGGAGCAAAACAATGATGCAGTGGGATGTAAATGGCATTGAATACTCATAATATGAATACTCAAATTTTTCTCTGTCCTCCATCAAGGGAAACTCCAGATCATCTAAATCAATGGTTGGCAACCAGTAGTCCGTGGACCATTGATTAATTTGAAAAATTTGAACATTTATCAACCGAAGGTTATGTGAAATATTACAAAAGAAATGCAAAATGCTTAGTTGCTTTTTACACTTATTGGGGTTTTTTATTTGAATCTAAAACCAAAAACGAAATGACTGTTATCAATAAATAATGAACAATAAACAATATTGTGAGTGTGATTGTTGCCCTTCGTGGAAAAGCGTGAAGAATCCATAAACTTGTTTCAAACAAGCAGCAACGAACTTTAGGCTTGCATTAATTTTTTATAATTAAACATGCACATTTCATATTAATATAGTAAAATTGAACTTTTGTGATCATTATTCTACGGATTTTGTATTGTTTAAAAAATTCACAAAAATGGTCCATGGGATTCAAAATTGTGACTTTAGTGGTCCATGAGGTGAGAAAGGTTGCTGACTGCTGATCTAAATCATCTAGATTATTTGGTTGAGAATCAATGATATTCATTTTCAATTTTGCATCCAACTTCACACATTTTATAAAATAATTTTACCTCAAGGAATGTTCCCTGTATAGAAGGATAAATTTTCATATTTTTTGGAAGATTTCAGAAATAACTCATTTGTTACATCAAAAACATATCTAAATTCTTTGTTGTTGTATTTTAAAACAATCTCCTCTGTAAAATGAGATATTCTTGTTACTTTATGCCTTTTTTACAGCTTTGAGAATTCCATCCAGAATTTCCATTTCATATTCAGTCTCATCAATTTCCAAATCAAAAGAAACTAATGACCAATAGAGTTGAAAATCATGGCTTCCATCTTTGTGTGGTACACACAGCAATTTGCCCACTTCTTTCATAAAATACATTCCTACATTCAGTAGCACACAAGTTCTCCTGTGTCATCAACATCCAAACATACCATGCATGTTGTACATAGACATGAAAGGAGTAGATGTAGCATGTATCTTATTTTTTATTTATATACTGTTTTTTCCTTTCTGGTAATATTAAAAGCATTAAGTGTCAAAAATGTACCTTATTTACATCCATTTTCACAATGATGCAAAGTAAACACAATTTAATTGCTTTTTAGCCAACATGTTTCAAGGTAACTTTCCATTATATGCATAAACGTCATACCCTTTTAATAGCTTTGACAGATCTTATGATTTTATATTAGAATTCTACTGTTGGGTTAATTTTTCATCTTTTTTTCAAAAAGTTCACAATTTGAAAAATCAAGATTTCATATTAGATAATTTAATTTTCTTAAATTTTTATTTTTTTTAGCAATATCAAAAAGTCTCATAACAATGATTCTTTTGATACAAACTATTTTTTAATTGGCAAAATTTTTCTACACTATTTGCAGAAAACAAGTGAAGCTACATCACAAATCAAATGACAATGCAATATATATTATGTATGATGTTAAACATAAAATTCTTTCCAAACTACATTAAAAATAATACTACAAAGTTTTCAGTGTCAGATTTAGAAATTAATGTGTTCAAAACTTCCTTAAGTTTTTGTTATTTTTTTATTATATCTTTTACTATACTTGTTATTGCTTTTATCTCTGAAGGTGTTTGGTGAAGGTTTATGAAGCATTAGCTATTGTAAATTAAATAAATAAATAAATAAATAAATAAAATGATGCATCAAACAACTACAAATCCATTATTATAGTAAAATCTTATCTTGGTAAATAATAAATATTCTAATGAATTTTTTCTCGTAAGTCACACAAACTCTCTCAATATATATAACACTCTTTTGGAAAATGAAGCTTTCCAACTACATTCACTAACTGTACAAGTATAAATAAAATACTAGTTAAAAAATACTTATAAAAAATTTATATTTTTATGTTGATTTCATTTCAAAACTGGTAATATTTCATATCTTTTATATTGAATACTTATGTGCCTTAGAATTCTTGTCAATTTTTAGATAAATATTTTTAATTTCCTTTTTAGGTGTGAAATATATTCCTTAAGTATTCTTCAGCTATACTCACCTCCTTGTATAGTTTATTTATGATTTGCATTAATAATAGATATTTAAAAACACAATCATCCATAGTCAAAGAAAGTTTTTTTTTTAATTGTTTCTTCAATTGATATATTGTGCTTTACAAAATACAAAAGATTGCTTGTTGTAATAACTTTGGGATTCACCTGAACTAATAACATTAAGCTGTGTGAATAAGCAAGACTACAATTAAGGAAAATTCCTATTACATTGACTAACATTAAAAGGATGTTAAAACAATTAAGAAAAAATACATAACTTAATAATAATTATAATTAATAAATCTTTTTTATTAATTATTGTATAATTTATTCAGTATTATTCGTCTGCTACAAACTTTAACAACAGTGACTATAATGACAGCAATTTAAACTATTGTGTTTCAAGCAA